CATTGACGCGTACGTGCGCGGAAGAGTGCCCGGCACTCTTCCGCGCACGTACGCGTCAATGAGACAAACCAGTTAGGAAGAACAAGAACAGAGGAACTTTATTAGAATTCAAACACGTCAGCACAGCTCGAGAGCCAAGCTTCGAATGTATCGATTGATTACATAAACAATAGTTGCCGATCGGTATCGTGGCAACGCGCCACGATACCGGGCGCCGCTTTCCGTTAGTGAGCAGGATTCCTTGCGAGCGTAACAATGGCTGTGTTCTGCCGAAGTTGGCTAAGAATAAGCGCTTTATGCTGATTGGATAGATCTAGAAGAATAGCTCTATTTCAGCACAGATCTGAAAGTATAATCCAATGAACGCAAAGCGCTTAGCAAGCGCAAACTTCTGCTGGACACAGGCAATATATATAATTATAATCTCAAAAAAATATTTTTTCTCTCGCACAATCGACACAATACTCTCGCACTAACCTCACTTCGCTGACAGAATACGATAACTTATAGCAAACAGTCTCTCTGCTTATAGTAAAATTCTAGTACCTTTTGTGTCGATAGTTGGTAGTATTAAGAATAGCTATCTGTTAGATATGTAACCAGAGGTTTTAGTGAAGAAAATGAATTTTTAGTTATCTGACAGATATCTTTATCTGGAAGGTAGCTATTCGGAGGTGTGAAGAAATCGGGCATTAGTCATTTATGGACCGATCTTCTTGCAACCACGGAAAAATTAGAAAAATTTTCAGACTGGTTGCGCGAAAACCGAATAATTTTTTGTACAAAAATCTAAAACTACGAGTAGGGGATAGTAGGGTGTTCTAAACCCGGGAGCTCCGAGGGGGGAGCGGGGCGGGGAGGTACTCCGTGGCGAGGGGAGCGGGGCGGGGAGGGGTACTTCGTGGCGAGGGGGAGCGGGGAGGGGGTACTTCGTGGCGAGGGGGAGCGGGGAGGGGTACTCCAAGGCGAGTGACCCTGACGTCACACAAGGTGCTGACCTGTCACTACGTGACATGTATCAGATATCTAGTCGCGGGGTCAAGCACCGTTTAGCGCGAACACCTGGACGCGTATTCTTATTGTCCATGTTATGAGTCACAGGTCAAGCGCCGAAACCTGGCTGCTGATAGCGACTTTCATATCATGGTGAATGAATCCTTAGCGCGAACACCTGGACGCGTATTCTTATTGTCCATGTTATGAGTCACGGGTTAAGCGCCGAAACCTGGCTATTGACAGTGACTTTCTTATCATTACCCGTTACGGTCGACGCTGTCGTTCTCTCTCGCCCTAGCTGGGTCTGCGGAGAGGAGGGAGACGTACGCTATGACCGCGAAGATCTCATCGCACGCGTGTAAAAATGCAAACCGTGCAATGTCGTTGCGGACAAAGTTTTTAAATGTAGAGCTCGAAGGACAACTGATGTCGATAGGAGATGATGAGGGAAATAAGAGTATTTAAAATGATTAAAACCGAAGATTCTCTTTATTCATCCTTCTCTAGTTACAATGGTTAAAAGACGCTGATCTTCGATTGAGGTTTAATTTTATGAGATCGAAGAGAATAGGAATAAAGAATGGATAAAAAATGTTTGTGAACAAATATATATTTATCGTAATATGTACATTATGGTAACGCATCATATAAAATATTATCCATAGCAAAAGCTAATAATTCACAATCAATAAGTTTTATCTGAAACTTTATGTAAGATTTTAATCGCATCACGCCTATCAATAATACAATTGGATTTTATAGTATTTACGAAGGTCTTATATTTTTCACCTACACTATGCGTATTCTGACATAATTCGAAATATACAAGGTCTACACAAGTTTCGATTTCGAATAGAAATAATAAAGTTTGAGGTTTCATGTACAAGCAGTTTCTGTGTAATGTTAATTTTACCATGCTTTCAGCGTACATTTTAACACGCTCAATCACCAACTCGCGAATCGATAGCGATGAGGCGATGTTCGACGGTAGAAATCGTTCTATAGCTTCACGTCTTTCGATGAACGCCGCCCACGTCGCATGAGGCAATATTAATTGATTTCCTCGATTATCAGCAAGAATGATTTGCACATGAGACACCGGTCCCACGCTGATTCCAACATCCAAATATTTATAACTTGTCGCAGTCAACGCAAATCTGCGCCCCAGGATACGAGGCGTATGACGAGGTTTATCAAAACTAGAAAAAAATACAATTAACAAATTAAATAGAAAAATGTAATGAAGTATAAAATATATAAAAGATTTATTAATTAATACTTAATCATTGCACTGTTTCTTGCATGCTTCATTTGCAGTGTAATAATTCATCGTGCTTGTGCTTATAACTGATGTAGAGCGACTGAGATATTATTTCTATGCCAGATCTGATTTAAATACAGATTCTCCCCACCACTTTTTTTTCAACGGTGAAGTCATAAAACACAAAAATGCAAATCTTTCATTTTTAATAGTGTCAATGTACAGCTGCGGTAACCGACTGCGATGATACCACGGAACACGTGTAAAAATACGAATCTATTTGTATCATATATCTCAAAGATATTCGGGATAACATTAGCGCCAGCTAATCAAAATCAGTAGCTATGCGATTCTGAAAGATGACTCAAGCGAGTGTCGACTAAATGTCCGGCAGCTGCATGCATCTGAAAGATGATTCAACTCAGCGTCGATAGGATTTGAAAATAATACCATTTAGAGAAAGACAAAATGCAGTATAAAATCGGTCTGAAAACGTGCAAAACCACAGTAGGTAACAAGAAGCGGAAAAAATAAGAATGTATAATGGCTGAAGAGTTGCCAAGTGACTGATAAGTAACAATATGCCTTTTATGTGGGTTAATACAAACAATTTGGTACCATTTAAAAATGTGGTGAAAAATTATAAAGATCGGTATTTGGAAGGCGTATTTGAGGGACTCGAAGAAAGAGATCGACACAGTGAAACATCGACGCGTGTGAAACAGATCTCGCCGGTACAATTTTTACGCGATCGAGAACTCGGCATACGTGGGACCAATCTATTCGTAGAACGGAGAGTTGAATTCAAATCTGAGTTTCCCTCCGAAGAGTTATGGAAATGCACATTGAAGCGACGAGTATTTAGACGGGAGCTGAATAGAATCTATAGCACATCGCATTATAAAGAAGCGGACGATAAATCGAAAAGTAAATACATTCAGGAAATCTATGGAAGGATTGAACGTTGTCGAGCCCAGTATATCGCATTTCCTGCAGGTATCGACAGACTCGTGGAGTTAATAATAACATGAACAGTTACTTCGGTATCCAACGTTATTGTAAATCATGCAAACAAAGCACGTGCAAGTGTAACGAAGAAGAGTGTGATATGATATGATATGATAAAATTGTTGGAGACATGGAGCAAATCGAACGTGATCTATTGGAGCAATCCAGCCGAGTTGCCACCTTGGGCGAATATTTCGCGTGGGTGCAGCGATGCGACGAGTGCGTGCAACGACTCGAAGAGCACGGTCGGGTCAAGCGTCCGCGGCTC